GGGGGGGTAGACGTGGGGGTGGTAGGGAAGGTGAGCAGGTGGGCCATAGGCAGGGGGCATGGCGCCATAGGAGGGGCCCTCGGTCTTCATCATGGACTGCAAGCTCTGGTAGCCCTCTCCGGACATGTAGGAGCTGGTGGTGGACATCCCGGTCATGTAGCTGGAGGGGGGCGGGGGCGGGGGCCGGTGTGGCAGCGGCGGTGGCTGGTGCACAGGGGCCGGGTGGGCCGGAGGAGGAATCTGGACTTTGGGGAGGTCGCTGGCATCCACTGGGCCAGGTGGCTCGGCCTCGCCTAAGGCAGCAGAGAGGGGAGGCTTCCGATCTGTGGGGGAGAGACAGGTTAGCACAAAGCCCTGGACCAGATGATTCTGGAGCAGGGGCTGTGGGCCCAAGGCCAGGAGCTGCACAGCAGGTCTCAGGGTCACGTCAGGGCGTTCTGGTCCCTGTCCTAGGTCCTGGCAGCCATACGTGCGGAGGGGCACGGTATAGGAGCCACCTCTGCGGCCTGGCATGAAGGCCCGCACTGTAAGGTCCCAAGCCATCACGTTCTTGCTCCTGACTATCCACAGGTCTCTACCGAGCTCTAGCCTGCCCTCCCCTCCGCCCTAGTCCCCAGCCCACCAGTCACAGGCAGCCCTGGCACAGTTCTAGCACCAACACGCAACTGTGGGCTCCCTGTCTGGCTGTCTCTGCCGCTGGCGTCTAAGCCTAGGCACCAGACCACACGGCAATACTGCTGGCAGCACTAGCATTTAGTGGTCAAATGAATAAGGCGGCATTTAAAAGGCCACTGCAAGGCCCATGACATTCTCAATATATTCATCAGTGCGGAAACCGGTTCCATTTTACTTGAGCGAAGCAGGATCGAACCCCAGTGACCTCCGTAAGGGTGTGCGTGTGCATGTGCGTGTGCCTGTGTGCACACACAGCAGCACCGAGGCCACGCACTCCCAAGCACCTCTGAGCTTACGACCCGCCAACAGGCCCCTGCTACAGAGCTTCACAGCCCATAATGTCAGATCCTCCCCGCAGGGGGATGAATCAGGTGCTCCGCCACAGCAGCAGCACAGTGCTTGGAATGTGTCCTTTCCCAGGCAGCTGGGGGCAATCCTGGGAGAACAACTGCTGGGCCCAGAGAAGACCTGAACAGCTGAGGCACAGGCCACACAGGGGCCTCATACTTGCCAGCTGCCCACACAAGCTGATTGCTCTCCTGAGCTGGAGAAGTGTGGCACGGCGTCCTGGCAGCTGTGGACGCGCGCGGGGCGAGACAGGCTGGCATGTGCACCCTGGCTGCTGCCCGTCCCTCATCCTACCAGCTGAAGTGACTGGGGACAGGTCAGCGGGCTGCTAGTGCTGATCAGCACCCGCACCCAGGAGCTTAGATGCCCACAAGGATCCGCCTACACCGCTGGGCAGGGCCATGCACCCTTTGGTTCTAAAGGCTGAGGAGACTACGCATATGAATACAGACCCTTGCAGGGCATGGTGGTGCACACCCGTAATCCTAAGCTACTCAGGAGACTGAGGCAGGAGGACTTCAAGTTCAGGACCAGCTAGAGCAATTTTGTGAGACCCTTTCTCAAAACACAAATGAAAAGAGTTGGGGATGTAACTCAGCACTCCCTGGATTCAATCCCCAGTACCACCCAAAGAGAAAGTGCTGACCTCCTTAATTCCTCCCCAGTGCCTTGTGTCCACCAAAATCCACAAACTGCTCTTCCGCCTGTAGGCAACCAATTCCCTCAACACTCAGCCCTGCGACCTCTCCCAACCCTGAGGGCCCACCCCAGCGTCTGCGACTACACTGGACCGTGTGCTCTCTCCCCAGCCCCACGCATGCCCCAGACGGCCCCTCGGGCCTCCCTGCAGAGTGGAACCCATTTTCCTGTCGTCCTGGACTGTAGAGAACGGTGGGTCCCACACCTGTCCACTCCTTCACGTCACCACCTCCTCTGCGAACCTTCTGCACCAGAGGGCCACACAGTGACCCCGAGGACCCCTCCGGACGCTCGCGTGTTCCCCCAGGCACCATGGCTGCCAGGCTCCGCTCTCTCCAACCACGGCCTGCCTGGCTCCCAGGTCCCACCTGCAGCTTCCCCCCATGGCAGTTTGCTGAGCTTCACAATGTTGCCACAGGCTTGGGCACAAGCCGCTGAGGCCTCCACAGGAGGCTCTCTGGGCCTTGAACAAGGAGCAGCCCCTGCTGACTGCGCAGGCTCCTTGAGTGCACGCGGAGCTGGGGACCCGTTCTCACCCAGGAGGTGCTCACAAGCCCTGAACGAGCAGCGTGGCCATCTCTTTGAGCAAGGTTTCACAAAGCTGGGGGCTGGGTTTGGCCCGAAGTTGCCCATGTGCACACAGCATAGTAGCGGTGTGAGAACGAAAGCGAGCGCATCAGCAGCACCGGCACACCACAGCCCCGCCCTGCGGACACGCGCCTCTCCGCCTGCGCCAGCCCACTGCTCTGGCTCTGAGGTGGGGCAGAGGCAAGGACAGCACTGTTCTTTAGGCCTTTCTCCTCCCGTTTCCATTGCTGTCTGAGAAGCTGTTCAGCTCACTGCACACCTGTGAGAACTTTATGCCCTTTAATTTATTCTCTTTGTGATCTGAATAATTGCTTATTCTTCAAAATGCCCTAGAAGACATCCTACCAACAGGAAGCAGGTGTGAGAGACATGGGATTCTGACATCTACAGCAATCCTGCCTGGCTCTGGAAAAGTGCTCATCAACCTGCAGTTTCATTTCCCTAAAATTCATTTATCTTGCACAGCTTGGTATTTCTGGATGGAAGAGGTCAGAGAATATTCAGATACGCTTAAGACTGTGACATCTGCAAAGTACTTGGTTCGGGAAACGAATGATTTACAGCTCATGCGGTCTTTGCAGGCGCTCTACAGCCCCGTGCCTGCCCTCCCTGGTCCTCCTCTCGTGGCAGCCTCGGGGCACCAGGCGTGCTTACCTGGAGGCGGGTGGGCCGGAGGCAGTGGTGGGTGACTGGTCTCAATTTTCGGGATTTTAGGTGGTGGTGGTTCTAAAAAGAAAAGGCGAGTTAAAAAACCACTCATATTCTTCATGTAAATAAAACCCATCAGAAAGAGAAAACAGTAAGAAAAACATATGGTCAGAGATTTCTTTAGAAGAAAATGAACACACAAAACCAAGGCCTTCAGGGAATGAGAGATTCCACTGAACAAGGAACTCATTAATGCTCTTAAAATAACAAAATCATTCAAGTACCTCTCTTCCCCCAAACAACACAGCCTGCTAACTTCGCCCAGTCAACCTGTCTCTCACATCTGCCTGAGCTTCCTTGTTGACCTCTCAGGACAAATTCTTCAACATCATGAACAGGGAAACCACATCTCAGAATTCACAGAAAGGCCCTGGGTAGCAGGGCCATGTAACCAAGCCCCACTGGGTCTCACTGAGAAATCCTTCCTGCTGAATTCTTACGCAGATACACCTGAAGCCGCTTTGCTCTCTCTCCACACTGATTTCCAGCTAGCAGCATGCCAGAGCAGTGCATTCACTGCTGACAGACCTGGAAGCACGAGGGAGGCCTGAAGGAGGACGACCAGGGCATTGCACTGCCCTTTGGGGTAAGGAGCTGTCGTCAGCCACCACAGGGACAACCACAGGTGGGCAAGACGGGGTGCAAGAAGTCCCAACGCTTCTGTTTAAGAAGGCAGACACTGTGCAGCAAGGCACAGGGACCTTGTGCGCTAGCTTTGACTTGGAGAACAAGTTCCCTCTCTCTACAGTAAATCCACATGCTAGTGTCTCTGCCAACTCCAGTCCCGACTTCCACACCCCACACCTGGACCCTTAGCCAGCGCCTCACACCTGCCTCTCCCCTGATGCCGCTCATCTCTCGTGGTCAGGCAAGCTTAAGCCGCCCTCCAGCTGTCCGACTGTGCTCCGTACACAGATTTTTACTTTCCAGCAGGCGTGTGAAAAAGGAAAAGCTCAAACTAATTTAGGTATTTTATTTAACCTGATCAAAAATTTTATTTTATCATGTAGTCATCGCATAAGGGAAGCCACATGGGCACTGTGTCCTGGTCCACGCCTTCTGCTCTGTGGCCAGCTCTGCCTGCCTCATCAGGTCCTCCTCCCACCTTGCTCCACTCCTCAAATGCAAGTTAAGGACCCGCAGGGTCCCTTGGGGCTGTCTCCTGGCTCTCACTGCGCAGTGTGTCAGCGCGGGCCAACAGCATGCACCACGCGGCGTGGATCACAGCCCACTAGTGCCTTATGTTTAATGCCTGTTGATTTGGGGCTAGAAAAAAATTCACCTGTACTGAACTCATCTTTCTCCCCAAGACGCTAAGAAAAACAGAGCTTTATCATAACTGGGAGATCTCATAATAGTTTTATGAATAATTCATTGGAACCAAGAACTAAGCAACAAGGCAACAGAGAAGAGTAAATATGGTCCATGCTTTCAAAGTGCTCGGGAGGACGGGGCAGACCAACATAGACACTGTAAGGGATTACAGCTGGGATTACCACTCAGATTTTTACTCCCTCTAGTTTCAATACAGAAACAAATTAAGCAACTTGGTGTTCTACAAATGTGGAAAAAAAAGAAGGCCAGTGTTTAAAAGGTGTCTGGCTCACCTAAGCAGTGGTGCTAGGGTGTGCTGAGGCGTTTGGGGCCACACACCCCAGCACCTCCATCCTTCCTAGCCTGCAATACTGCTACCGTGTTGAGGACAGGCACTCCTGTGGCCCTTCGCTTTTGTCACTGATGACATGCATAACTCCTCCCTCAAAATAAACATTGCTACAACTGGCTTCCTACATTCAGAATTGTAGGTTTGTTTTGTTTTGTTTTTTTGGTACTGGGGATTGAACCAGGATCCCTGTACACTGAGCACATATCCTGTCTTTTTTTCGTATTTTATCTGAAGACAGAGTCACACTAAATTGCCCAGGCTGGCCCTGAACTTGTGATCCTCCTGCTTCAGCTTCCACAGTAGCTGGCATTACAGGTGTGAGCCAGTATGCCCAGCCACAATTGCATTCTCTTAGTTGTTCCCAAGTACATTTTTACAGCTAATGTTCCTTGAATTGATACTTCTTGTCAACAATCTATAAAATTATACAGGCTGGTGATGAGCAGAGAAGAGGATACACTTTTCCTGGCAGGCAGGAAAAGTTTTTCATGGCTCTTAAGTTAAATTTTAAATCTAATTTACATCTGAAAGGAAACAATGCTGACCAGGTATTTAAGTGACCCTGAAGTTTTTCACAGAAACATAAATGAAACCTAAGAACAGGGTATTACCTGCTGCTTTGCTCTCTTCTTTGGGAGAAACGACCTGTTAAAAAGAAAACATATGGCGGTTAACCAAGCCCCTAGGCACTAGCAGGATCAGTGAGAGGATGTGGCCACAAAGCAGATTTATGCGGCCCATGTCCATGCCCCCCACCATTTCTGCCCTTCTTCCCTGGACAGATCACACGGCAGGACCCCTCTTCTGCGGAGTGCTCTCGGCAACAGCAGGCTTCAGGCTCTTGCTACACTGGGTCTCTGGGGTTTGCTGGTGCCCATTTATGCCACCTGCTTTCCTTTGGGGGCTCTAAGCAACCAAATGGCTTCCGCCAGTGGCTGGGCTCCTTGGATGGGGGACAGATGTGTCCTGGACACAGATGTGTCCAAGGTGGGAGGAGGACCTGATGGCCAGAAACTTTTACAAATACTCTGTGTGTCACTAAAGCCCTGAACACTTAGGAAGCATATAGGAGAGGTAACTACTCCAGCAGCCAGTGCACGCAGCTGGGATGACTGGGGCAAGGAGACAGTCCTGCTTCAGGTTTGGGCTGCTGCGTGTCACCAGCACCCACAAGAGAATACAGGGGACAAGGTGCACCCTGACGCCCGAGAGTGGAGGCTGCAGCAGGAGGACAGAGCCCACCCGGTTCAACAGACCATAGTGTTCAGGCTCCCCTGCTTCAGTGTTCAGTGCAATTGTGCTGGTGCCCACAGCCCACTCACCACGGCGCGCTTCGCTTGGCGGGGAGGGCTGGGCTGTGGAGACAGCTTCTTGGGCTGCTGGACTTGTGGTGGCGGCGGCTGCTGCGGCTGGGCTGACTGCTGCGAGTCCTTCTGCTGGGGCTGGGCCGGCTCGGGGCCCTGAGATGGCTGTGACTGCTGCACTTGTGGCACTTGTGGTGTAGGCTGGAGAGATGGGGGCTGCTGCAGCTGATGAGGGGTATGATGAGGCATCTGTTGTTTTCCTTGTGAGTAGAGATCTAGGATCTGGTGGCAGATGTCTATATGAAAGCCAACAATTACATTCACTACAAATTGACACTTTAAGTCAAATTTCACCAAGAAAAAACTCAGCTTTGATCCCCCACATGGACTAATAAGCAGGAATCACACTGGTAACTGGCACCATCTTTGCTGTGTCTGACACTGGGCTGCCTTTCTAGTTTGCTAGAACTATAGAACTATGTGTTTGAACAAACTGAAAGTTACAGAGGAGAATCTGAAGGGACTCAGGGCTGTCACTGAAGAATCACCTAAAGATGGCACACACAAGAAAGCTCACACACCCAGTACCTTCCAAAACATCAACAGGGACGTCCTGAACGAACTGCTCCCACCATCTCCTATACATGGGTTTGGAGGTCCACTCTTGTATTTCAAACTTGCACAAACGTCCTGCGAGATACATGACTGCCACTGCTATGATCTCCGGTTCCCACTGCAGTGACAAGGTGGTGCAGAGACTGGAATCAACAAGGAGAGAAAACATTTATGATGAACCCCATGTATGGAGATTTGATGTTATATCTACCTTCATGTCAACTGGCTGATTTAATCATCTGCATGATTAATGTATAATAAATAAGGAAGCAAGTTTTTAGGTACCAATCAGCTAACTGTACTTTAAAGAATCAGAAGAATTGGAACACATTAAAAATTGCTACATCATGAAACACATGAAAAAGGTTTATGTCTTTCCCTGCTGAAATCCTAGCCACTGAACTGTTTCTTCAAATGAATTTTTATGGGGAGGTCAAACACTCTGCAAGACACGTGAGGGAAGCCTCCCTACCTGTGAGGGTGGGGCTGCTGGCTCCCCAGCTACTGGCATTCCCACCAACACTATGCCTCTAGCTGGGCGTGGTGGCGCATGCTGGTAATCCCAGCACTTGGGAGGCTGAGGCAGGAGGATCGTTGAATTCAAGACCAGCCTGCGCTACAAAGTGAGCTCAAGGCCAGCCTGAACTGCATAGTGAGACCTTGTCTCAAAAAGACAAAAAAAAAACAGAACCAACAAACAAAAAAAAAACACTCTGCCTCTAGAGTCATTACGAGAAACTAAATGGGCTCTAAGAATTTTGTTGTCAACATTCTCCAGTGTATTGTTCTGGATGTAAAGTTTCAAACTGGTGCTAAAATTTCAAATTCTTACACCACCAAGCCACGGCTGGGAAGAAAACCCCTCTTCTGGGAAGCCACAGCTTGGACTTCGGCCCCAGCTCTCCAACTGCTTATCCAGGGTACATTAGTTTCTTCACCCCCAAATTAAGGGCCTTGAATTAAATGACCCATAAAGTCTGATTATAATTCTACAATTACATCAACATTTGAACACATGTACCTGTCATTTACAAAGGTCCATGCCATCTGAACCAACTTTTGAATTTTGTTTTTATCACCTAGGAATGGAGAAAAAGGCAAAAATTAGTAAGAACAAGGGGAGAAGAATTCTTAAGAAACAACAAGAATTTATTTAAAACCTACGGTGTGTGAGCACAGGACAGAGCTTCCACCTGGGAAAGGACAGATGAACAATGGTGGCCTCCATCCTCCCCTCTTCTTTCCCTATCACTTGCTCTTTCTCTGCACGACCTACACTGAAATACCATGTATGGGAAAACGGGCTGCCAGGCTAATTTTATTAGTCTATTTAAAAATTCTGACTCATTTTCCTGCTTCGTATCACTTGGCAACTGCATGACAGAACCTGTTTTTGCAAGAGGGAAGCAGCAGTAATGGCTGCTGCACTGCGCTGCTGAGCAAACTCTGTCCTGGGAGCCTCACACATCAACTGTGCGCTCCTCTCGTGAGAAGCCAATTTGAACCTCATTCAATTTTAAAGACTTGATTTTGGAATAAAAAAGGTCTTTTAGAAACTTTTTCCTCCTTACCTTTGAGTTGTTTTGCATATTTGAGTAGGAACTGGTATGGATGTTCTACCTGTAAATCAAACTTTATAGTTTGTAGTAAGATTCTCTCTAGAACCATTACTTCTTCCTAAAAGAAAAAAAAGTACTGGGATAGAAATTATAAGTTTCAAACAACATTAACAAATTGGACTTTTCCATTTTCTCTTCTTTGTTCATTTTCTCCTTCTCCATTCAAGCTTAGACACATTGATAAATTCTGAAAAGAACTCCCAACAGGTAGAAAAACTAACTAAAGTAATAACTCAAGGAAAATGACAACAAAATAAAGATCCTTGGAAACAGTATTACTTGCAAATACACACGAATTGCCCTTAACAAAACTGAATGATTTCTTTCAAGATTCCCCTACAGAAGAAAATTCCCAGGAAACCTTATGGGAGAGACGGCAATCGTCAGCTTCACAAAAGCCAAGCTAGCACACACACTGTGTGCACGTGCATCCCTGTACATGCGTACGTACACAGACGTGTGCAGTGTGCATGTATAAATGCATAGCACTTTTACCTTTAAATCTTTCATTTATATAAGTTCTCCCAACACTTTATTAAAAAAATATAAAGGTATCATTTTTCCTTTTATTGGAAATGATAGCTAAATCCCTATCTTATACTACATATGCATGTATTTACACACACACACAATCTTTCTGATCACTGATCAGTTCATCTACTTCTGCAACACAAAGAGGTTGGGAAGGGTTAGTTTCACTGTTACTCCTCGGTTTTAACAAAGTGGCCTGTTTTTGGAAGTTCCTAACCAAACACAGTTTCAAACCCAAAATATGTTAAAAAAAATGCCATTGCTGGTCTGACTGGGAACTCACTGACTTTATTATAGAATGAATAGGGAAAATAGAGATTTTTAACTATAATGAACCATCCTATAAACATTTTATTAAAATCTTTTCAGTCTCTTAGTTTTAAAGAGCTTTGCAGACGGAAAAAAAATCACATCATTAGTAGTCCCACAAACGTGACCTTCAGCAAGAGGAGACATGAGTGAATGACTTTCATTCCAGAGCACATCATTACTTCAAGAATACAGAGATGATTCTATAGTGATTTATTGTTCCAAATGGCACGGCAAGACTCAAGTTTTTCTCTCCCAGTTTCCCAAGCGTTTTTTCCTTTCACAGAGTATGGGTATAAAAAGTCTTCCTATCTCTATCTTTTTTTTTTTTTTTGCCTGTTGTTGTCAATACCTGTTTCCCAGAAGTTTCACATTTCTTCTAAATTTAGAAATAAACTTAGCAAGTGCGCCAACAGTTTGCAGGCAGTGGCGTATCTACTATTACAAGACAGCCCAACACCAGCCTGCTCTTTGTTTCCAGTATTAAATTAATGGGTAATAATACATCACCTGCACAGCCCATCCTCAGGGAAGCTTTCCTGCAGTTCTCTGCTTACCTGGGTCCCTGGGCAGAATGCTCTATGAGTACCTTTAAATGATCTTTTATAGCATTTCCTAACTCTCATGAGGAGATACATGATTATCTTATTAAAATCTATCCTGCAGTGTAACTGTAAAACCCATGACAGCAAAGAACACAGGTGTTTTGCCAAGTTTTACCTAGTGCTTAACATAGTTGCTAAATTAAGTATGTGTTGAATAGAGGAGAAATTAATATTACTCAGGAAAACTACCCAGTTAAAGTAAAGCTAGTTGATACCAAAAACATTACACACACTCAACTTTGTTTTTCCAAAGTACTTACACTGCCTCCCCAAATAACTGCTCTCTTTTTGCCAAGGAGAGAACTGGGTCTTCCCTGCTCCCAGACACAGTCTGTCTTCTGGCTGCCCATGTGAGAGGAGCTGGGCAGAGCTCACTGGCCCATTTAGGTCTTACTAGTGTGATATTCCTCTACTCCTATTTTCTAGGGGAGTGGAGTTAGAGAACTTCTACTCTGCTGTACCCAGACCAGGTCTTGGCTTCCTAAGTGGATGATATAGTGGTGACAGGTAAAGTAAAGAGGAACTTCTCCAGGAAAGCTTGGGGCAGCACACAGCAGCTGCTGTCAGGCATCCTCACATGCAGGGGTCCCACACATGTGCGGTCAGCCTTCACAGCAGTTTTCATAAGCTACGAGGTTCATCTGCCCATGACAACAACTTGGTTGAGGCATGACATGTCCCTGTAGCTAGAGGACATTTATCACAGACTCACCATCTTTGAAATCTGCCTACAGGTGTAGAAAACATTCTCTGATGGTTACATTGTTTTATAAAAATCAACGTTTGATTACTGTTAATTTGAGTCTCTAATAAGTTCAAATTTTATAAATAAGTTAAGGGATTTCTAATTAAGTTTAAGGGACAACTATTTCACACTGACAATGCTTATAAAGCTTTAGTATTAATCACAACCACAGTATGTACTGAAGTAGACTGCACATTCTGTTCCACATGTAAGAGCTGCGTGGCAGCTGGTTAAGACAGACTGAGCACGGAGGGTACCAGCCCCATCACCTGAGCTTGTTTTAACTGTGATTTTGAGTTTCCTCTGTAACCCTAGTCATTTACTTAATGGGACTCTGTTGAATGCTTATGTCCAGCCCCTGTGCTAGGCACTTTTGCTCCTTGTGGATCTTACATTTGAGAAGGGGACAAAGTTATCTGTGTGACTTTTCCCACTGGGTCACAATGGCAAGGATGCAGCAGTGGTGATGAGACAGAAGCACCATCTTGAGGCTGCAGCCCGAGGCCTATACCATAGCCACCTGGGTAAGGCAGCGATCTCCTGGGAAAGAGCACCTTAACGAAATGTGTCCATATCACCTCCAGCTGTTAGTGGGTTCTGGGTAACTCTTCACTGTGCCTTCACTCCAAGATAAAATGACACCAAAATACAGAAGTTTCTTGATTCAGAACCAAGAAATCATATATCCAAGTGCCGAGGACACTATGGGCACACAAGGAGGCACTACATGAGTGAGGCTACATACTATTCCTTCCCATCTTACACAGCAAGGAGTATCTTCTACACGAGCCCTCTTAGGAACCCAAGGGACTGGCAGATACAGGTACCACTGCATCTTAATGCTATCACAAGGAATCAACATTTCAAGGCAGGAAGTTACGGTTCTTACCTTTGGGTCATCTCCAAACTGGCCAAATTGTACATCATTTAATAAACTACGAGCTGTTTTGATGATATCTTTACATTTTTTTGGAGTTTCTTCCACTTTCCCAGCCAAAAAGAGACAACAAGCTCCTGTCACCTAAACGAGAGACAAACAGTCTTATGTTTTGGCAGCAAATTTTTTAACCTTCCCAATAAACCAGGCCCTCTCATTCTTCCACCTTCTTACTCATTTATAGTCTGATACTCTAAAAGCTTGAAGAAAATTTTTTAGCACTGAAAAATATTTGGTTTGTAAATTCAAAATTTAAAAAAGATTTTAAATTAAACTTTTAAAATTTTTTAAAATTTAATTTTCTTAGGATTGGGAGTGTAGTGCAGTGGTAAAGTGCTTGCCTAGCAAATTATTCATGAGGCCTTGGGCTTGATCCCCAATTCTGGGGAAAAAAACCCACAAATATATAAAATTTATTTTTAAAAAGAAAATTGTCAGATGTCAAAAAGAAAGCCACAGATCCAAATTTCCTTTTTATATTGTTGTTTGGAAGATTTCAGCTTTCTGTATAGTAAACCGCTATGAAAAGAGAACAAGCATAACTACATGCATGTCATGTGGAATACACCTCTGTAGCACTGTCCACACCTCCTTTCCTTCCTGCTATGGTCAGCATGTATGTGTTGCTTGGAGCTCATCCGTTGAAAATAATCTCCAATGAAGCAGTATTCAGAGGTGGGCATTGGACACACGACCCCTATAAAGGGACGGCCAACCCCATGAAAGGGGCCTGAGTGAGCACGTGTTCCTCCTTCCCATCATGTGAGGACATAGCAAGTCGATACTAAATCTGCCAGCACTTTGGTCTTGAACTTCCCAGCCTTCACAATTGAGGACTAAGTTTCTATTATTTATAAATTACCTAGCCTGAGGTTATTTTGTTACAGTAGCCCGTAGCTGCAACGGACAAAGGCATTCTCTCCAGTTACCTCAACCCTAGGGTAGTCCTTGTATCACTGTGGTCTTGATCTTCTCTCCCCAGCTTCCCCCAGCTCAATCCTACCCTTCTATATGCCTCTCTCTTCACATAATCTGACTACACTGGATGCCACTCTGCCAGAGGACAGTGTTAATTCTGACAGTTTCCTAAGAACTTTATAAACCAGCAAGGAAGACAAGCACACAAATCTAATAAAATGTAGCAAAAAGGAAAGAACACTCAAACAAAATGCCCTTCCTCTGAAGTCTAATTCTGTTTACCTACAGAAGTCAAATGTTCCTCTCCAGCTTTAGGGATCATCATGCTCTGATTCGGCCTACCCTCACCCAAGGTCTTACCATTTTCCTCCCTCCACCTGGAGCTCCTGGCTGGGCTGTCGAATGTGCTGCGCGCTTCCCCTTGCATCTGCTCAAGCCAGTTCTGGACAGACCACTATTCTCACCCATCTCTGTACATCTATGCCCTCTGTATACCCAAGGCTTAGCTTATGACTTGCACCACTCCCATGCACATTTCCCCATCCCTGCAAGATGTAATTCATCTCCCCCTTGAATGTCCCAGCCCTCTATCTGTACCTCTCCTATGGCCCAAACTTACCTTGGGAAAGGTAACAGGGAAGCAAACTTTCACACAAAGCACAATATAGCAATGCCCCACAGTCTCCTAAAGATTTCAATATAGTTAGTTGGAAAAGACATAATTCAAACTTGATTTTGTTTAAAAATAAGCATTCATAGTAAATATGATAAGAGAGACTATAATGTGTCCACCAAAGTGGATGGAAATAATAATGTGGTAGAGATCACAGTAACATTTAAACACTTACATATCTTGGGAATTGCTTGAAGGAATGAAACATGTAGAAGCGATGAAAATAAATTATTCCAGTTGCCAGGGTGTCATAGTGTCTGTTTCACTGGTTAAGGACTTTAGCAATAACTTCTATAGGTGATGTTTTTAGTTAAATGCAGGAAAACAATAAAGACAAGAACAACAAAAAAATCAGTGATAACGTACAGGACAGCAGGTAGAATGGGCATCTCAGGGTGTTAGACTTTTGGTTCGAGAATGAGCACTTCGAAGTCTTACTTTTAACTAGCCTTAAGAAACACTTCAGCTGTTATCTTAACGGGTGCTGGTTTTCCTCCTGGGGGGCCACTTGCTTAGTGGCTGAGTCTACACATTTAATGATAAACCAGAAACAGAAAAACCCTGGAGTTATATATTCAGAAAAACATTTAAACAACTAAGATATACATGAACTGTCCTAGTGCAGAGAAATGACTGTGTATTTTGTCTACAGTATCTATTCAATCCTTGGTGGTAGTGTGGGAGATTTCCAAGAGGATCAGGATACAGTCCCAAGCGTGTGCCCACATCGAAGATGAACCGTGCACCCTCTCGGCGGTACCGGGCCTCTGTGGCTGGATCGAGTCCTTCGAGCTGTGAAGGCGTGTGAGCCAAGTCTTTCTTATCCCAGTACCAACATGGTTTTGTGTGGTCCAGGTTTGCTGACGTTACTGAAGGGCTTGAGTTTTCTTTGTTCTCCTTCATTTATTGAAGTAGACTTGTTCTTTCCAAATAGTTCTCTTTAGATGTTAGAATCCTAAGAGAAAAAGATACAAAGTTGGGAAAGGATGCCACACTGTAAGTCATCCTAATTATCATTAGCAATCTACTGCCATAGAGTGTTCCTGATGTTGAATCAAAATTCTCTACAGGAACTACTCTACTGATGGCCAACGAGAAGGCGAACTTCCAAAGCCAACTCAGCACACACACTAAGTAACTCCAGTACTGTAACTCCCAGATAAGAGCATTTCCTCCTCCTCTTGAGGCGAAAGGTTTAAGCTTGGACAAGATTTTGGGAGAAAGCAAGTATATCTTACTTCCTTTCTGCTTTTATTTACTAGACACACACTTCTCTCATGAGGGTCTGGATTCCATTCTTCAGTGAAATTTGGACCTGTGTTAATCCCCTACAAAGATTTATGCTTCAAAATTATCCTTTCTTCCACCTATCAAAGTTAAATTTTCCCTGTTTTAGTTTACGTGATTTCATTCAGGCCCTCTACTTATAAAAGCCTCGGGACTGGGTTAGTTTACATCTGCACAAGTCACTGAACTGAGCAATACACCAGGTGTGTGGGTGTAGTGGTGTGTGGGTGTAGTGGTGTGTGGGTGTTGTGACTGGGGGGATGGGTGGAAGGAAGGAGGTGGTCTTATGAGCAAGGTGCTTCAGATTATTCTTGCTTTCTTATCCTTATCCCTTTTTTTCATTCAGAACACAGATTGTCTAAAAGCCCCATGCTTCCAAGAGAAAAAGAAGACATTTTCAAACAGGGCAGCAGGAGGATTCCAAGAGAGGTGGCTGGAGCCAGCTGAATTTGGTGAGCAAGAAAACAGCAGTTCTGTGGCCAGGATCTGAGCCAGGGCTCCACCAGCTCACCTGGAAGCCGCCCTTGTCCTATGAGCCTCCCTCCTGTGGAGAAGGACATTCTTTGATTAGAACACATTGAGGACACAATGATTTATTATTCGTTAGAGTTTCTTAAAATAAGGCTTCATTATACAGCCCGGATTAGCCTTGAGTTTATGATCCTCCTGTTTCAGCTTCTTGAGTGCTGGGATTACAGGTGTGTGTAGCATTACATGTGGAGAAGGATAATTCTTTAATTATCCTTGCTAAAAAAGAAGTTTGGTATCCGCCCATTTGTACTAGCTACACCCTTGGTTCTTGCTCAATAAAAGGTGACTGAGATGGGTGATCAGGGCTGCAGTGTGAGAGGCTGTAAATCCCCTAATCCCAGACTTTTGCCTCTCTTGCTTTTCTTGTCTCTCTAACTTTTTCTTTTCATCCGCGGGCACCTCGTTCTCGGGACCTGACACCCTGAATAGAACGACAGCCTCCTCTCTGGTGGGCAAGGCAACCCAGCAGGGCTGAGTATTTGCTTACTCCTTGTACCTGGTACCTCCGAAGGGAACACGCTGTTTCCTTCAACAGAAGAATTAAGTAATTAGAAAAGGTAATCTGCATGAGTTAAATTTATGCTTTTGTATGTGAATTATTAAATCGGGCAATGTTGGGGGGCTGTTAACTAAATCCTCAGAAACTATGATCACGAGACACTATTTCTCATCTAGCGAACTGGCACAATTCCAAAATGTTGGCAATTTACTGTTGTCCCAAGGCCAGGGAGAAGTGCGCATTCTCATAGACTGTGGGTAGGAGGACAAAATGGAACAACTGTCACAGCAGGGAAGTTGACGTATCTAACAAAATGACACACACATCTGCTCTTCGACCTGGCGAGCCTGCTGCTAGGAACTGTCTCTGGAGACACTTCACAAGTATGAAACAACATGTGCGCAAGATTAGCCACTGCACGTTATTTGCAACAACAAATCTGTAAGTAACCCAAGTGCTCAGCAACAGGGACGAGGTGAACGAGATCACGGTACAGGAACACAACAGTGTACCGTGTGGCTAAAAGACGGAGATTCCAGGATCAGCAAAGGGCAGGGCCGCGTACATAGTACGCTAATATCTAGGTATGAGAACAGTTTTGCTCCCAATTTTCAAAAACAACAATAAAGTTATCAATAGGAAATGGGAAAGAACTGAATGAGAGGACAAAGATGGGAACAGGACTTCACCAATCTATTGTTCCTATATAGCTTTTGACTGGTTAGGGAACTCTTTTATTTTAAAATAACTGTAGTTTTTTTTTTTGGTATGTGGAATCGAACTCAGGACCTCATGCTTGCCAGGCAGGTGCTTGTGTCACTGAGCTGTATCCCTTGCCCAATTGTAGATTTATAGAAGGTATAAACATAGTACAGGAGATTTTCTGTCTATGCCCTTAATTCAGCCTCTCAAGTTAATATCCTACATAAGAACAGTACTAAAAACTAATAGTACAATAAACTGTAGCTTTTACTTGGATTTTGAGTTCTTCCAAAATCCCCTTTTCTGCTGAAAGACCCAATCCAGGATGCCACCCTATGTTTAGGTGTCATATTTCCTACTTAGTCCCATCTCTTCTAAATTGTGTAGATTTTTCAGTTTTGCTATGACCTTGCCAGTATGTGAACACTGAGCAGACATTTTATAAATTGTCTGCTGGTTTAGGTCTGCCATTCCCCATGAGTGGAGTTTTAAGGAGAATGCCACAGAGTCTATGTCCCTCTCACCACATCATATCAGGGGCAGGAGGTTTCAGAATGACTTTTTACACCTAAGGTCACGCATGACCTCTAGATTATGACAGGGTACGCCAGCTTCTCACTGTTCATTACTATTTTGCCTTTTTCATTTTCCACTCTTTAGCAGCCAGTCACCAGTTTCAGCCCACGGTCTTTACTTGTTGATATGGAAATTAAACTCTACCTTTTGCGGGAAGAAGTATCAAAGAACTTGTTAAAACTACCACAGTGATGAATACATAATTTCTGGAAAACACTGCAGTGCAAAATACTGTGCAACTACCTACTGCTTCTTAAAGTCTTACCTCACTAACTTTAGCATTCATCTGAGGATCTTGTACAACAACTATTATTGTGGTTTTTCTTTACTTTTTTTTTTTCTTTTTGAGACGGGATCTCTCTATGTTGCCCAAGGCTGGCCTTGAACGCCTGAGCTCAAGTGATCCTTCTTTCTCAGCCTCCTGACTATGCCTGGCTACTGTGGTTTCCCTAATGGTGACTTTCCATTTCCCTCATTCCTTCAACATCTATTATTTAGAATTCTTCTATAAGAAAGGTTTGCTCTACTTCCATTTGTTTGACGTTTCAATCATGCAATTACTTAATATATTGATAAATATAATAAGAAAAAAGCAAATCCTACCCTTAGAATAAACCCCTTGTATACTAAATGCACAATCCTAACCACACAAAAAAATTACTTCAAGTAATTTGAGATCCCAGTAACATTCTTAGTGAGATATACTCTAAGGAGAAAAAGAAGTAGAAAGAAATCTTAAACTTTATTATACTGTAGTAGCTGATGGTCACATAACTTTGAATATATAATAAAAACTACTACCATGTCAGTTTTAAGTGTATGATTTTTGTATGCTATGTAAATTATATCTCAATAAGGTAGATATACACATAAGTAAAAGCACATTTTTAGAAAAGTAGAAGGGCAGAAAGAAAGCTTCTGAGGCATCTGTTGCTCAAGAAAGTAACAGTGAAAAGGCAGAGGACAGGCTGTTATGTTTCCTAAGGGGGTTAAAGGACCAAGAGATAATAAAAAGCACGGTGAGAAAGTGTGAGAAAGGAAGCTCCTTTTTTTGAGAAACAGAATTGGAAGAAGATGTAATAAGAACTGTTTAAAAGGGAGGAAGTAATTCCTAAGAAAAGGATCCACTTTCTCTGGGAACCAGCATGCAAGACATCTGCTGAGAAGAAAGGGATAGAATGCAAAAGGGGTAGAAATAAGTTGCAAAGAAACTGAGATGGAAAGAATGTCAGTTCACAAGTAGATAAATCATAAATATATTCAAGTCTGTTTTACCTGTGGTCACTGGCTAAAAGCCATGCTAATAACCTAATGCTCTAGTACCAAAGTCCGTATTCGTAATCTTTAGATTCTGGGCAGAACGAACAAAACAGGAAACAAAATGAAAAGAAATGTACATAAAAAGATCAACAGTCCTATAAATCATCCATTTCTTTAAAAAGTGCCTACCTCAGTTCTATAACCTTGTTCCCTATTACTCTTCAATTACTTTTCACAAGACACTGAAGTTGTAAATTTTCTCATTACCAGTTTGTGATCACTGTAAAAATGACTGGGGATTTACGAGCTCCATGAGAACGACAATCTCGCCATAAACAAGCAGCATGTCAAGGCATTTCAGCAACACTTTTCAGTTATGTGCTACATGATGAAAAGTAAAATGCATTTTTCAACATTTAGAATTATGGAAACCATAGTAAAGGTTACTACACCATTCCCTTACCCAGGACAGAAGTTTCCTCTTAATTGTAAGCCAGGTGTGGTGGTGCATGCCTGTAATTCCAACACTCTAGGAGGCTGAGACAGGAGGATTCTAAATCTAAGCCAAGCCTTAGTGAGACCCATTCTCAACATAAAAGATAAACAGCTAGGGATTTAGGTCAGGGGTAAGATGTGTGCTGTGTGTGCAGAAACACACACACACACACACCCTCAAAACAAAATGATAATATGAACTGGTTTCTCACTAACTTTCACCCAGCCGCTTTTGATACTGTGACCTCAGTGGAGAAAGCAGCCCAGGGTACTGCTGAGTATCAACAGTAGGTGTTCTATAACTCTTGCAACGATTTTATCTTTCTGTTCAGTCTCCAGATAGAAGGCACAAAACAATGAATGAAATTTATCTTTTAATAACTCTCTGTAACTCCCATCTAAGCTTTGAAAATACATTTATCTACCCACTGTCTTTCAAGTATGTGAGAACAATTTTCACATTTCCTTCTCTAGGGTACAATTAAACTAACCATTTTTAAAAGCATGGTTTTTAGGGACTCAAAGTGCCTGTTATAATCAGGGTTTACAGGCGAATGGATTTAATATAGGACACATAATTCAGAGGATTATTTTATAATAGTCACCCAAAGAGTCAAATGCAGAAGAGTGCCAGAGATCTGTCCACACACCAGAAACCCAAAAATCCAGCTGAGGACCTGCATGAGTCAAGCTGAAGACCCAGAGCCCATGGCAATGTCCTCCATGACTTCAGCTGGAGGCCTAGAGCCACGACAATGTTTCACGCAAGTTTGTACCAAAGATTTGTACAGGGAACGCCCAGAGGTCAGTGGTGGAAGCTAGAGAGTCTGCACCAGTGGGATGAAAGATCTGTGCCAGCAGGCTGAGGGATGTGCGCTGGAGCCAGGAAGCAAATGCTCAAGGTAAGAACCAGTGCTCTCTGAAAGAGAACTGTAGCCATCCTCAGTGACAGCAAGGACTAGAGTTCCTTCGATGCTGAGAACAGCTGAGTTCATATCAGTGTGACAAGCTTCTCCAGGAGAATCAGCAGCTCATCTTCCCCTCCAGTTCTCTTCATATGCTATTGACAACAGTCCTTCCACACCCAGCACCAGGCTGATTCAATTCAGCTGGGTGATACAAATTAACCATTAATTAACCTACTAAATAGCCTCTAAATAGTAACCATCAAAACAGAAAAAAATACTCTTTTATGATCTGCCCAGCACATGGGGGGAGGGAGTACCACATCCATCCTTTGTCCACTGAGCAAGCTACATTCCCCCCTCTCTCTATCCCCCCACCCTACCCCAGGGTCTCACTGTGCAGCCTATGTTAATATCAATCGCATGATCCTCCTGTCTCAGTCTCTGAAGCACTGGACTTCAGACACGTGCCACCCTATCTGTCTATATAATGTTTCTTTTCTTCACAGTTCATCACTGAGAAAATAGAGCCAAAGAGACATACAGCAACCTGCCACAGTTAGCAAGTGGCACAGCCACAATGTGTCTTACTTTAGATGAAGATATTACCTCCCTCAATCTAGATACTACTCTGTCTATAAATGAAATGTATTTTTGTCAAGACAGATCTTCCTCATATTATCTTCAACAAGTACAACTGAGTCCCTGTAAATTTACTCCTAATTTATAGTCAGCATGGAGCTATTATTTCAGCTGGCCTTCTTTTGGTACTGGGGACTGAACCTAAGAAGTGCTGAGCTACATCCTCTGTCCTTTTTGAGAGGAAACTCTCACTAGCTTGCCTATGCTGGCCTCCAACTCGCAATCCTCCTGTAACTTGTGATGAGCCTCCTGGGTGGTTGGGACTACAGGCACGTGCCACCACAGCTGGCTTAATTCAGCTTTGAAGAACTCTAAATCTTGAGTGTACACGGTGCCTACTTATCAACGCTCAGTTGGTGTGGATTTATGAACTGAGAAGTATGCTTGTTACACATTTAGTAATAAAAAAAGTACTAACCCGAGGAAGGGCAAGACCAGAGCCTAATAGCTCATTTTTAAAGACCTCTCTTTAAGCTAGTACCAGCCCATCAATAAACATGTTGGGTTTAATAATGTGAATGGGCATACATCCACCTAACTACATCTTACCCAAAATACATATACTTCTTGTGTCTGTTAGGACAGATTATGCTTAGTGTCTCAAGGAAACCTAAATTGACTCATGCCAGCAATCTCCTGACTACTCGAAGTTGAACAAGAAAATATGATTTGTGTTACCTGACTTTTCCTTATCAGAGTCCTGTTGGTTTAGGGAATCAGTCCTCCTTTCCCAAGTATTCACAGAACCTTTTTCGGCCCTCCCAGTAATATTCTAAGTCAGATCTTCAATAAATCCTTGCACCCAAGAGTCATTTAATTGCTCTTTGTGAAAACAGATATTTACCAGACTGCAGCCTTCTTTTTATCATTAGTCACTTTAGGAGTTCTCAAAAACTATGAACAATGATTTTACCAAATTTTTTTGTTGTTGTTGAGATAGGGTCTCAGCATGTAATTCAGGCTGACCCTGAACTCGCTATATAGCCCAGGGTGGCCTCGAACTCACAGGGATCAGAGGATCAACGCTCAGTTGGTGTGGATTTCTCAGTCTCCTGAGTACTGGGATTTCAAGTGTCTGCCACCATGCCTTGATACTTTACAATCCTATAAGCAATTACTCTAGTATATAATTTATATGACCTTGAAAATACAAATCGAATTTAACTTTTGATTGTTTGTTCTTACCCAATGTTTGAGAAAACAAACCAAAAACATTTTACTCTTTTTTTTTTTTTCTTTGTGAGACAGGGTCTCGCTATGCAGTTCAGGCTGGCCTTGAGCTCACTTTGTAGCCCAGGCTAGCCCTGAACTCGCAAGGATCCTCCTGCCTCAGCCTCTCCTGAGTGCTGGGATTACAGGCGTGCGCCACCAAGCCCAGCTACATTTTACTCTTAATCCACTCAAGTGAATTCACTGGTTTCAAAATAACCTCCTGACATTAACCTGCTCATTTTACAGGCCAAAACTATGATTAATTTTTTTGTAACACTCAATTTTAGAAATGGCATTTAAAATTTAAGAACTTCATAAACAGTTGTGTTTTTTGCTTATTGGCACAAACTACACTTCCAAGAAGGTCCGAATGTAAAACACGACTTGCATGGGACTCAACTGGTGTTAGGAGCGGCTGAAGATGGAAAGTAACGAAGCCAGCCCCAGAACACGGGAGCTCCTCGAAGCATGTACACAAGCCGTTGTAGCTTGTTAACTGACTGCTGCGCAGAGAGGCTGAAATCAATCAACCTCTCGAGGGTATAAAATAAACGCTCTTCTGTCCTTGGGTCGTTCCCCTTCTCCGCTCAGGAGAGAGGACCCCCACCTGATCCCTTTTTGTCTCTTGTCTACTTTTTCCTCATTCTCGCCGCCGTTTCTTTGGAGTACAGCAAGAACCCAACGGATCCGTACAAACTAGTATGCTTCAATAATGTCACACTATAATCAAAATGAGACAAAAGGGGAACTTCTCTAAAATTAAACATTAACGGTATTTACCCCCCAAAAAAGTCCTGGACAAGCTTGGGTTACAGGCGTGCGCCACCACGCCCGGCTACATTTTTAGAGTCAATTAGAGTCAACGTTATTTAACAAATAAGCACCTTAGGAACACGAACAATTTCAATCAATACGTCTATCAATACTACTGACGCCATCATTCATCCATTCGCTCGTTTGGCAATATAGAGTCCACAAAAAGTTAGTGTTCGAGGTGCCCAGGATTGAAAGCTCCGCACTTTCACTTTTCGCAGTATCGTTCACAGAAACCGTAGTGAGCGTCTACACGTGCAAAGCACCGTTAGGAGCCTGTATAAAGCTACATCTATCGAGATACACAGACACTGCCAAGTCTGCCTTGAAAACATAAAAGCAACTGCTTTTAAAAGTCATTCTTAACTCCAAATGACTTAGCCAAAGCTCCGTTTAATTGGCAATCCAAATTCAGGCAGCGTTGCTGAGGCTACGCTGTGCTGACAACAGTTTCAGAGTTTTTGGATAACCTCTTATAGCTCCGCTCTCTAAAGAACAATTCCTGTAATAAGAGCAAACGAACCACCCGGAGAGGATGGGTGAGACGAGGTCCGGGCAGGAAAGAGCCTCATGCGGAAGTGCCCTCTCCTCTCTCCTCGTCCTACCCTGGGCACTCGGCTCTCCGTTCTCTAAGTCGGAGAACCCCAGGTAAGGAAGAGGTTTCGGAGCCTCAGGACGCAACAACATAGGGATCGACACGCCCGGGATCGAACGGGAAGATGCAGAGGTCTGCGGCCGCGCGCGCGCTGAGAGCCCAGCTCCCTCTCTCTTCTCGCTAGACAGTCCCCCAAACCGTGGCCGGCCCCACCGCAGGGCCGGCACCAGTTCTCGGGTCCGCTGGGCCCCCGCCCAGCCCTGCGCCGCAAGCCCTGTCCTCAAGCCCACCTCACAGCCTCGCGTCGCCCGCTAACTTCGACAGGCACCGTCGGCAGGCTAGCGGAGCGGGGCGGAAACCGGAACGCGAGATTCCCCCAACCGACCGCCGCAGTGGGCCATACCCTACTCGGACCTCCAGGTACGCAGGAAGTGGGCGGCGCCGACCGCGGTCGGTCGGTCACTCACCCGACTCTTCAGGCAAGCCCCTTAGCGACGTCTCTCCTTGCAGACTGCGGCCATCTTGGATGTGGAATGTCGGGGAACTACGTCATCACGCTGCGTCTCACGAAGATAAACTGGAGCCCGGAGAGGCGGTTAGCGTCAGGCGCCTATCAACCAATCAGAAGAAAGTAGAGCTCTTAAAAGAGGAACTAGCCGCGTGTTTCCTCCCCGCCCACCGGGTGGGTCGGGGGCTGAGGCGTGAAGTGGGAGGAGCGGGCTAAGGGTCCAGCCCAGCGGTCCCGACACTCGCGGCGAAAGGGAATTCGTGATCAACCGAACCTGCTAACGGAACTTGGGTGCGCAGGCGGGGCCTATGGCGCTTGTAGGCCCTATCAGAACTAGGGCGTGGGCGAAGCTCAGCCAATTACAGCCACAGAGCTGGCGGCCGAGCGGGCAGCTCTCTCCCAGGAGCCGCCCGTCCAATGGTGGCGCAGGACCCGGAGCGGAACGGCGGCTGGGCGGCGGGGCGGGGCTGCGCGCAGGCGTGCGAGGCGCCGGCCAATGAGCGGTGGCGGCGAGGCCCGGG